GGCCGGGGCTGAGGTGAATGCTATTGCTGCTTTTGAAGGCCGGACTGCATTACAAGCAGCTGCTAAAGGTGGCCACCTCGATGTCGTCGAAAGGCTCTTGGCGGCCGGGGCTAAGGTGAATGCTGCTGGTGCTTATTATAGAAGCCGGACTGCATTACAAGCAGCTGCTGAAAGTGGCCACCTCGATGTTGTCGAAAGGCTCCTGGCGGCCGGGGCTGAGGTGAATGCTGCTGCTGGTTTTAAAGACCGGACTGCATTACAAGCTGCTGCTGAAGGTGGCCACCTCGATATCGTCGAAAGGCTCCTGGCGGCCGGGGCTGAGGTGAATGCTGCTGCTGCTGATGATTACAGAGGCCGGACTGCATTACAAGCTGCTGCTGAAGGTGGCCACCTCGATGTCGTTGAAAGGCTCCTGGCGGCCGGGGCTGAGGTGAATGCTGCTGGTTCTAATGGAGGCCGGACTGCATTACAAGCAGCTGCTGAAGGTGGCCACCTCGATGTTGTCGAAAGGCTCCTGGCGGCCGGGGCTGAGGTGAATGCTGCTGGTTCTAATGGAGGCTTGACTGCATTACAAGCAGCTGCTAAAGGTGGCCACCTCGATGTCGTCGAAAGGCTCCTAGCGGCCGGGGCTGAGGTGAATGCTGCTGCTAGTGCTTATTATAGAGGCCGGACTGCACTACAAGTAGCTGCTGCATTTGGCCACCTCGATGTTGTCGAAAGGCTCCTGGCGGCCGGGGCTGAGGTGAATGCTGCTGCTAGTGCTTATGATGGAGGCCAGACTGCGCTACAAGCAGCTGCTGCAGGTGGCCACCTCGATGTCGTCGAGAGGCTGCAGCGAGCAGGTGCACATAAGTAACAAGTGAACCTTTCCTTACCTTTTATATTTCATCATTCTCGCCACTTCGGACCCTCTTATTCCCGCAAATCTAAAAGACTAGCATAGTGGGTGGCGAAAAGTTGGGTCATACTTCAAGTATTATTATGTAAGCCATGAGCGGCACATCTCTTCAAGCCCGGAGTCACAAGACAGAGATATCAATTCCGAAGCGGCAGACAGGGCGGCTACCAGCTACGCACCTCAACTACTTATTAAGCGGAGCGCAGCGCCGACAGGCGAGCTTGCGAGCCTAGAAGGTATGCACTTAGCGTTTCTCAGACCCGAGGATAACGAAATGGGGGCCCTCACTTTACCGCTCTCTCCCAATTGATCTTTTATCGTTCTCTTCCACATCAAACCAATGCCGTATCTAGCCGCGCAGAAGTTGTTGTGGCTTCGCAGCCAAAAGAAGGCGCCGCAGGCTAGGGCTACCTAAGGGAGCACGTGCTGATACGGCGCTGTCCCTGGGTACTAACTCGCAGGAGTCCAGCAACTTTTGTGGCTGATCCGTGGCGGCCCTCCGTTTTCCTTTAGAGACTCGTTCGTCCGTTCTACGAGATGTAGCCACTCCGATTCTACAGCCTCGCGTGGTTCGCCGCCCCATGGCGTTTTGCCTTTTCGGCCAAAATCACGCCCAATTCGTCAGCCTTATGGCGCTCGGCAGCCACAGGGCTTACAAGGCTTTCGCCGACCGCACCAATCACAGCGCGCCAGATACCCCTCGAACCGAATCTCCAATCGACACGTCCCGAGGGGTCGAGCGGCGGTCAGAGCTGTTGTGAGTGCTGGATAACGGGGCTTTGGTGCGAACGTGCGGGTCCTCCGTTTCGCATCCCCAACACGCGTTTAGCAGCCGTGCAGCCTTGTCCAACGTTACGGCGCTAAACCCCCCGCTGTGACGTTCTTGTTTGTTAGACAGGGGAATGGAACATTCATTCACACAGCCCGGTAGATGACGTCACCTAACAGTCGGCGATTCACGTACCACTGTTTGTTTCAACATTACATGGTTGAGTTTACTACTTGAAAACCAGAACAGCGATAAACAAGTGCGCATTGTCTGTCCAATTATCTTTCCCATTATACAAAGTTATAAGTTGAGACGGGAGGCATTTGGGTTCGCTTTTAGGCGATTGCGATTGCGATTGCGAATTCATTTCCTCCCAACCTGCGCCTTCACTTACACCCGTCCAATCCGTTAACCACCCGAGACATGAACAGCTAGCAGCTAACGTCAAACGTCAAACGTCACGACGAAACCAACAACAACAACAACAACAACAACAACAACAACCTACCTCTTTACCTATACCACGGCGGGATTGAGAGTTGAGAGAAGATGGCGGCACATCACGAACCATTCAAAGCCCTAGGCCCGGTGGACTGGGTCTCCCTCGACTGTAATAATAATACCTCCTCCTCCTCCTCCTCCCCCAACGACGATGACGACGACACTTCCAAGCTATTAGCCGAGCTACTCGACAATACGTTCAGTGAAGCGCAGGTGCTGATCGACTCCGTGCCTGCACCGTCGAGCGTAGTAGCTGTGTCCCACGATGATAATAAGAAGGGTGGTCGGCCGCGCTCGCATACCACCGATTCTGCTGCCCTCTCGCAAAACATTAATAACCTTTCCGCCCTCTCAAACCCAGACCACCACAAGTCGCATGGCCACCATCATAAAACGATACAGCTACTGGCTAAAGAGTGGAAGGAGGTCAAGGTCAACCCGAAAGATAACCCGCTGGGCATTTCGGTGTATAAGTTGGCGGCGAAAGACGGCAAAGGGAGCTGGTTCGCTAGACGGAGTTTCCACGAGGGCGTGACCTTTGACAAGTTCAGGATTGGGTTGGAGCGGGAGTTTGTGCAGACCCTGAAGAACACGCAGAAAGAAGGGGTTGAGCCGGGGAAGGGGAATATCCGAGGGATTGGCGCGGAAAGGAAGGTGGAGAGTTTGGTGGTGGAGGGGAAGGGCAAGGTGCAGGTGTTGCAGGTTTCTGCAAGATTTGGGGGCCCGACGACGCCACGGGATTTTATCACGCTTGTGCTCACGTCCACGGCAGGGGGGGAGGAGGAGGAAGAGGATGGGAAGGGAGAAGGGGAAGGAGGAGGGAAGACAGAAGAGGGGGAAACAAAAGAAGAGGGGGGAAAGGAGGAGAAGAAGAAGAAGAAGGTCAGGGGCCCGAGACAGTTCATGCTTGTCTCCAAGCCGTGTGTGCATCCGGAGTGTCCGCAACGCAACGGGTTCATAAGGGGACAGTACGAGAGTGTGGAGATTATCAGGGAAGTGGCTGTCAGTAAACCGTTACGACGGACACGGTCATCAATCGACTTCAGTAGGGAGGACGTGAAGAGGGAGGTGCAGAACGGGAATATTGATAACACGGCCAAAGAGGCCATGTTGAGGGTGGCTAGACAAGCTGCCGAGGAAAGTAGTAATAGTGGGGATTCGGAGGGAGGTGACGGGAAGAAGAAGACTACTTTTGCGTCTAGCGCCAGTGACATTGGCGCTGCTGCGACAAACGGAGCAGATTTGGATGATGAACAGCCGGTGGAAATGGCCATTGAGTGGTTGATGGTTACCCGCAGCGACCCCGGTGGAAGTGTGCCGAGGTTCATGGTGGAAAAGGGCACACCGGGAGGGATCATTGGTGATGCGGACAAATTTCTTAAGTGGTTGTCGAGCAAGAGCATGGATGATCTCCTGGCTATTGGATCTGAACCCTCAACCACCACGGAGGTTGTAAAGGAGGAGGCGGACGGCGAGCAACCAACAACAGTCACGCAGCAGCAGGAGAAGGCTGCCGCCATTCGCACCGACAGCGAGAGAACCCAAACTCAGCAATCTTATGATAACGAAGAGGAGGAAGCACAGCCCAGCGGGTTTTACGGCATGATCGCCGGCGCGATAGGAGCGGCTGGGTCGGCTGTGGCCAGCCGTATCGCTGCCTTTACTGAGCCCGCTGCGAGGGACACCGATTCCGAACTGGATACCCTGGATGACGAGAGCGATACCTCTTCTGATGGCTATGTGTCAGCTGAAGAGGGCGACGACCTCAGTCAATCTGTCCCGACGACTGTGGACGATAACAACACTAAGGGTGGTGGTAATGACGGTGATGGGGCATTATCGACTCGGTCAAGGTCAATGACCACTCTTTCTAATGAATCCAGTTCTGCGGCTACTACAACAACCACTGCGCATGCACATAAGAAAGAAACCCACCACGAAAAGGAGCTTCGTAAACTGGAGGAGAGGAGACGCAAGGCGCAGGAAAAGATCGAAAAGATGCAGGAGCGCGCAGCAGCTAAGCAGAAGAATGCTGCCCTCGATGGCGATAAAGATGCCAAGGAGCTGGCCAAGTTGCGAGAGAGGCACGAGAAGGAGATCGCCAAGCAGGAAGAAAAATACCAGAGGGATCTGAAGAAGCTCGAAGAGAAGAGGGCTGCGGAAGAGAAAAAGGCAGAGGAGAAACGGAGAAAGCAGGTCGAGAGGGAGGAGAAGATGAAGATCCAGATGGAGCTGGACAAGGTCAGGGCGGAGAGGGATGTGGCGTTGAAGCAGATCGAGATGCTCAAGGAGACTGTTGGAGAATTGCAGGCGCAGAATACCCAGCTGGTAGCAAAACTGGGAAAGATCATTGTGGAGGGAGAGAGGGGGGGATAATTACGTCTGAGAAGTGGGAGGAGTTGAGGAAGACGCTCACCGCAGCAACCGCAGCAGAGAAAAAGGGGGGGGGGGGACAGTAAAGAATCCTAATAACGCCAACCGGGGGGGGGGGTGTTCTATCATCCTCATATCCAATTCTCACTTATCGTCAGCTACGGTATATAGGTAATTACGTTGTAAGGACGGACTGAGTTTTTAGCATGCGCGCACAACATAGGTAGCATTGCTGGTTTTGTTTTGGGTGGGGATTGGCTTAGCTGCGTTTTGTCTTTTTGGCTGTTTTTGGGCGGAGTTTTGTTGGTGGTGAGGTTTGAGTGTAGAGAGGGTGGTTATGGCGGTGATGAACATGTACATGTATGTACATGTATGTACATGCATACCAACACCAACATCAGGAGTGCGGGAATGAGAGAAGTGACAGACACAGATAAGAGTCATACTGTTCATCCAAAAGGCGTGATGGCTGAGTGGTCTAAAGCGCAAGACTAGAAATCTTGTCTCTTCGGAGGCGTCGGTTCAAATCCGGCTCACGTCGCTTGTGGGGGCATGAGACCCTTCCATTGTTCTTTTTTAGTTCATTTCTGCTTCTCTTTTTGTTTTTATTCTTCTCCTTGTTGCATATGGTTTGCGTGTAAATTGTGTGGTATTTTTGCATATATGTGTATATATATATATATATTTAGTGGTGGTAGGAGAGTGTCGATCAGCGTGGAACATTAAGCATTCATAATTCTTCAATATTTTCTATTTCTTGTAGGTAGTTGGTAGAATTCAATTCAACATCTCAATGTATGTAGTTCAAGCACTGAAGTTATGTAATGACGTGGGCTCGCTACGCCTCTTCCAACTTTTTACCTTGCCTCCTAACCAACCCACCTGAGCTTTCGTCTACCTCCTGCTCCCAGTCTTCCGGGAGGGCATATGTCCTGTATGTGCTCTTATCCCGTCCCAGTAGACAAACCCTGCCCGGAATCTCCCCCCTCCGATCGTTCCTGTCCTGGACCTCCATCTGCACCACCGGTCTGAAATTACCGGCACCCGTCGGCAGGTCTGCAAATGCAAACCCTTTTCCCACATCTTCAACTTTCATCTCCTTGATCTCCTCCCCCAAGCCCTCCTGATATTCCTCGTACTGTATCTGCTGGAAGGGTATCCGTAGCAGCAGCAGCAGCATCGTCCCTTGACCCTGGCCCTGGCCCTGCTTCTGCTTGGTGCACAGTATGAGTAGACTCTCCTCGTCCAAAAATTTAAAATCCACCATCCCCAGCCCCTCCTCTCCCAGGCGTATCCCGCAAGCGGCGGTGTGGACGGTGGTGCTGACGCCGTTAATCACCCCGGTCTGTGTCTTGAACAAATACACCTTCCTCTTGTCTTCCCCCGCTAATGCCGTATACACAATTGCATCTGTTTCCGTCTTTCCCTTTGGTGGTGTAGCGCACACCTTTAGATCGCTCTTCCAAATCTTCCGTCCAATCGACAATGTCGTCGGGGGACCGAACCGCACGTTCCGTCTCTTATCCTCCGCGATTCCCTGAAACACACCCGAGGCCCTACTATTCAGGTAGGTGACGAGAAACTCAACGTGCGGCAGGGCTTTCATGTAAGACTGCCCCTCCTCTTGCTTCTCCAACTGTTTCTTCAGCAACTCCAGGAGGGAGGAAGTACCCGGCCCATCCTCCACCAGTTTCCTCTCCTTGGTATAATCTTCCTGGGTAACCTCATCAAAGTGCATATCTAACGGGGAACTGGTCAGGTACGTAGAGAGGTACTCCAGCACCATGGCGTGATCCAACGTAGCTTCTTTTTCGGTTAGCTCGTCGTTGGCGGTGGATGGGGAGGACTGCCTGTCGATTTCAAGGCGGAACCAGGTGGAAAAGACTGCAAAGTAATCCAGCTCATCAATGATGGTCCTCAAGATTCGGTGACCGACCACCGTCAAACAGGAGACGATGTCGATGAGACGGGTGATTTGAGCAGCAGTGAAGCCGAAATTCTCTCGCGTGTCGTAGAACCGGACAATTCCTAGCAGCCGACTGAGGATGACCACGCAGCGTTCCAAAGCCGGGAGGAAATTTTCGTGTACGAGAGCGCGGAGGTTCTGGAGACTGCTCACGACAGCCTTGTCCCATCGCTTGTGGCCACGTTCCCCGACGATGTCGACCAGCCATTCTTTGACCGGCTCCATCACGTGCCCGGTCACCACGGTGTGATATAACGCCTGGACGATGGTAAGTGAGCCCCGAGGATGATTTTTTAGATCCTCTCTGACGGCCGAAAGGAAACGGCTCGGGAGCTCCCGGGCGGCCTTCCATTCCCCTGCCATGTGGAACTGGGTTTGCTTGACGTATCGCAGCAGGTTTTGCAGGGTGGTTGTTTTGGATGCCAGCAAGGAGAGGCTGACTGCGCTGGTGTTGATGAACATTAAATCCATCGGCACCAGCCGGAGCGAGTCCCCATTGCCGTCGGTGGGTCGAAGGAGGAGGGCATGTGTGGATATGTCAGGGTGCGAGCCATGGCCGCATAGGTGAAAGCTGCCTGCACTTGACTTTGTGTCGGTAGCTTTTGCAGGAGTAGTGGGTCTTGCGGTGGTCTGAGGAGGCGGATATCGAAAGGTGCCGATGACCAGGGAGTCGTAGATGCTCAGGTGAATGCCTCCGTCGGCCGTGCCCACGATCATGACATCGACAAGGTCAGCATCCTCGGGCTTGAACGGACGGAAGACGAATTCCAGGGAGGATGTTGTTGAGAATACAAACATGTCGTCTCCGGAGCCGCCCGAAACGGGCAACGGGCTGATCTTTGGCATGGAGTTCTCGACATCCAAGAAGGTAAGCTCGCGAGGAAGATCGAGAATGTTGGGCATGTCATCTGCCGAGATATCGCTGGGCAGAGGTAACCTCTTCTTCAGAGATGTTCGCCTGCCTACCCGTTTCGTGATAGTCACGTTCCGAGACCAGGCGATCATCTCGATCTTGCTGGGCGGGCTTCCTTTATTGCCTGCTCCGTCGCCGACAACGCGGATGTGGTGCACCGCCTTGCTGTTCTCCAGGCCTATCAGGCGGACGACGCCGTCACTCCAGCCTGCTGCTAAAAACTGTCCTATAACCACATAAGCATTGCTGTCAGGTTAAGGTGGATAGTGGGGGGGAAATACCGTCTTCCTTCCATCGTATCGCCTCAACCTTTTGGTTGCGCTCGGTGTGCTTAGACACCATCTGGTCGTTGGCGCGCCATATGTAGAGCACATTGCCGCCGTCGCCGACGGTGGCAGTGAGGTCAATGACCGGGTTGCATGCGATGTGGCCGCCGGCTACGGGCGAGCTCACGGTGCTCTGGCTGAACAGCTGGAGTTCTTCAGGAGCCATTTCTGTTACAGGTAAGGCACGTAGGGAGGTGTGGAAGCCTTGGCTATATCTGTGTTCCTGGACTCCAAAAGTTGGAATGCTGTCGCGCGACAAATTCCATGTTATGTTCTGCTACCGAGCCATTAAGACGACGCTGTAGCTGTTTTAAAGGCTCGTGGTTTAAACTTGTCGCCTTCGAAGTTTAAATCCTCGTGCAGACATTGATGGTACGTATGGATACAGCAACCGCGTCTGTGGTGATTGCAGAATTGGGTTAACAGTGCGTAAACCAGTACGATCGGTGTGTTCGGCTCACTGCATGAACTGTTCGCACTGTACGTAGCATCCCGTTTAACGGCATCGCAACGCAACAGTGAAGAGGAGAAAGTGAATTCAACGCTCACGGTGCTGCTGAACGTAAAAAAAATTGGCAACAAATTATACGTAGAAGCCACATATATCATGCTCGCGTTAACTTGAATATGGAAAGATTTTATGGCCCCAGTACGACTTTTAACCGTGGCGTCTTGTAAGCAGACACAATTATCAAAAGCTCCCATCCCTTTGCGCCTATCTAATTCTCATGTTCTACTCAATCATATATGTGTCGGCCACCGACTTGATCTCCTTGGAGAACGACACGTTCTCACCCACTTCACCCCCCTCAATTAGTGCAGCAGATATCACCTATGCGAAATAATTAGCCATGCATTCTTGAATCACCGCAAAGCAGGGCTTTGGAGACTTACATCGACATCCACAAAAGGTGTGGTTTTTGAGAAGCGCACTTGCATCGGGAAGAAGTCGTTTTCGTCGTCGGTCTGCGCTTCAAACTCAAAGGCGCCGCTCGGGAGGTCCTGGGTCACATTCCCTATCGTCCACTCCAGGCTGTCACCAGAGACCTCATAAACAGCGTCAAAGCTAGAGACGGTGGGCTCTGCGCTGGAATACGGGATAATGACGCTGACGTCCTTCAGGTCGTCGCCGCCCGTCAGCTCATACTCAATGGTCATGCCGACATTGCCATCCGAGCCCTTGTTGACCCAGACGGTAAAAGTAATTGGCACTGCGCTGGTATCGTCCGTCCTGGGAGTAGCTCGCCACCGCAGAACCCCCACGGAGTTGTTGACTGGGAAACCCTTCGCCGTGTTTGCCATTTGGATGGCCTTGGAGCTGTTGAAAACATTCCTATCGACGTTGGGATGGGTACGGAATTGGGCGCCGTGCGATGGGGTCGCACTGAGCTCGAGCCTAGCCTTGGTGAAAGCCGGGTTTGAGATGCGCAGTGACAGGTCTCCGCTGACTGTGAACGAGTTCAGTGTGCCTTCCCTCGAGAGCTTGGCCGAGATCGCTTCGTTGACGGTGACGTGAATCGCATCGTGATCGCCCGTGGTCGCCCGTGACGCAGCAGCAGGCTCAGGGGCAGCTGCCGGCGCGGCAACGGGCACAAGCGGCGCATCGTCCACTTCGGCTCCCATCTCTCCCCGTACGCGCTCAAACATGTCGGTCGTCTTGGACTTCTTGCCCAGCTGCATTCCCTTGCCCTTGGGTGCCGCGAATCTGAACGATTGGTTAGCGTCTGGGCGCAAGCACCCCAAATCCGGGGGAAAGCATACTTGGACTTGTTCTTCTCGGCCTCATAGCTATCGTAGGATTCAGTAACAGCTGGCCGGACCGGCGGTGTGTATGTTGGGTACACCGGTGTCCGAGGCATGCCGCCACCAGGACGTCTTGCCGACTCTTTGCGCTGCATTTCCAGTTGCTTGGCCTTCCTCTTGCGCTCTTCGGTAGCCTCCAACTCTTTGTTCTGCGATTGCATTAGCCTCCCTGTCCCATGCCCATCGTCCACCATGTGTCGGTCCACATACCCGGGCAATGATCTCTTGGATACGCTCCTCGTGACTCTCCATCTCCAAGAAGGTCTTGATCTGGCTGATGGTCAGGTTCTCCCGGTAACCGAGCGTGACCAACTCGTCGAAGGCACTGAGGAGTTCGTAGGCATTTCGGAGAATCTCGCGCTCGTCTAGGGTCTTGCAGGTGCTGGTGACGACCTGGGCGAAGAGGTGGAGGGAGTCGATGTCCTGGAGGATGTTGGATTGCTTGTTGGTGATGAGCACCATGTAGAGCTCGTCCAACGGCTGGTAGACAAATCGGACATTGTCCTGCTCGACCGTAGTGTGCTGCGTCCCCG